GCAAAACTCAATAAATGTTGTCTGTGATTTTAGCACCAACAGGACTTCTGTTCTCTTTCAAGTAACGTGTGTAGAATATAGCAGGCCAGCTGAAAGACAACAACCTCATCAGGATTCAAGGCAACCCCGGACCCTGCGGCCACACTGTCGAATGGTGTGGCCCATGTTCACACTGTCGGATGGTGTGGCCCATGTTTATGACGTGGTCACCAGATGACTTTCTGAAGCCACTGTCACTCTTTTTCTTCTTCTTCTTTTTTTTTTTAGTGTGAGCCCATTTTCCTTATATGTCTTAATAGTAAACCTTTGGAATATTTTCAAGACATTAACTGTTCCTATGAGAATAGAAAGGAGCCCTGGTGGGGCAGTGCTTAAGTGCACAGCTGCTAACAGAATTGTTCGTGGTTTGAACCTACCAGCTGCTCTGTGGGAGAAAGATGTAGCAGTCAGCTTCCATAAAGATTAAAAAACCTCACTGCCATCAGTAGATTCCAACTCACAGTGGCCCACTTGGGTTTCTGAGGCCATAAACCTTTATGGAAGTACATTGCTCCCATGTTCCTTCCACCTAGTGGCTGGTGGTTTGGAACTGCTGACCTTCTGATTGGCTGGCAAACGCCTTACTCACTATGCCACCAGAGCTCCTTTCCTTGAGATCCTGTGGGGAAGTTCCACTCTGTCCTCTAGGGGCGCTGTGAGTTGGAATAGACTCTAGGGCAGCTTGGGCTTTGCTTCCATAAAGAGTGACAGCCTTGGAGACCCTGTGGGCAGTTCCACAGGGTCGCTCTGAGGAGAGGGGCTTGCCAGCAGTGGGTTCATGAGACAGTGGACCCAGCAGAGCGGCAGGGGCATCAGCTTGGAGTGGATGGGGTTCCAGACCCACCACCAACTTGGGAGTCAGAATCCGTGTTTTTAATAAGATTTGCAGAAGACACACATTGCAAGTCGGGAAGCACGACCATATAGGATCCCCTCTTCAATTTCACCACCCTCCTGCCCTACATGAAGCTGCAGATGACATACATCTCTGAAGTCCGGGTGAGTTCGTGGTGAAGAAAGGGAGGGACTGGGCTCGAGCCCTGGGCATCCGTTGGCTTAGTGGTCACTCCCACATGATCGGAAACAAAACTCAGCAGTGGCCAGCTCCTGGCTGCGCAGATGACCAGACAGCACATCGATCGCTCCCAGATAATCATGTCTTAAATATATTTGTTCCTGCACACTAATCTCCGTGTAGAGAATAACCATATTTCTCTTAAAAACTTAGGATCAGCGTAAAATGGCTTTTATAGTGAATTACATCAGAAGCAGGGCTCCCTAGGGATAACCAGCTATTCTTAGCGTAAGGGAGTGCAGCTCTCTGAAACGCTGCCTTCCAATGGCTCAGTATTAAAACCTAACAGTCCTTTGACTTTGATATTCCTTTCGGATGCTCTATCTGTCTCCAAAGAAGGTCTCCAGACCCACAGTTAATATTGTTTCCACAGTAAGCATGGAATCAGTCAGTACTGCCAAAGAGTTCTGAAAGGCCACCTACAACAGTGAAAACTCCGTTCAGATCCAGGCAACTGGGATTAAGTTTATTTTATGTTGAGCTGAAATATCCCCATTAGCCCTCCAGTACACCTCAGCAACACAGCAGAAATGTCTTCTGAGTCACAGGGGTCACCAAGCTGCTGGTGGCCACTTGGTGGGGCTTAGCTGGGGCTGGTGACTTCCTGAGCCATCTGCTGACTTTGCTTGCCAACCCCGGAGACGGGCGACACACTCGGGTCTTCCAACTCTTTTGAAGACAGAGACTACTGGACAGGGCTGCACTGAGTTACTAACCAAAAGGTCAGCGGGGCCACAGAGGAAAGGCCTGGGGAACTCCCTCCATCAGATCACAGCCGTTGAAAACTCCGCCGAGCGGTTCAGTGCTGACACACACAGGGTGGTCATGAGTCAGAGGTGACCAGCTGGCGCTATGTTTGGTATGCCAGATGGTTCTGCCCTATCCTCCCAATCTTTCTCTCCTTTAGCCCCATTCAAAGGAGCTCTAGTGAAGTGCTTGGCTGCAAACCAAAAGGTTGGCATTTCAAGTCCACCTGGTGACTCTGTGGGAGAAAAGACCTGGCTCTGTGAATATTCCCGCCAGGGAAACCCTATGGGGCAGTTCTACTCAGTCACATAGGACCGCTATGGGTCAAACATCGACTGGACAGCACCTAACAGTAATAGCAGCAACATCAGGGCCATCATATCCTGGCATTCGTGGCCTCTGTAGGGTGATGGCATGTCCCTGGGTAGGAACAAACAACTGCCACAAGTTGAACGACCTCTGGCAAATCAAGCATATTGTAAAGTCAGAATGGGTATATGCCTAGTATTCTTAAGCATAGCTTCAAGTTAGCTCCAAAATACCTGGATTTAAAGCATTGTTGAACAATTGACCATGTAACATATCTTTGTAATTCATTCCTGTAGGGGAACATTTGAGAAGGAAACACTCATTTATCTACCACTTCATGGAATATATCTGAAAGTTCAAAAGCAGTCAGTGTTATTTTTTCAAAATCATGCATGCTCCTAATGTGCATGAGTTATATAACTATACATTTATATATAATGAACTGGATGGTTGATGTGTATTACATGGACTCAGAATCTTCCCAATACAAAGGCCCTGAAAAAATTGTACATAGTTTACCCCTCCAGAAAGGTACACAATGACATTACCCGGAAGAGCAAATCAGAAAACATTTAGGAAATGCTTTAGTCTCTATAATGATTTCTACTGGGTCAATACGATTATCCAGTAATAGATGGTAAGAGTTTCATCTAGTAATGACTCTCATATTCTGAAGTCAGTTGACATGTGGCGTCTCTGTTTATAAAGAAGTTTGTTTGGATACAATTGAGATGACTGACGTCAGACTCTGGCCCAAATTGTTTCAGCAATAGAGACATTTCTTACCATTAAAGGGAAGAAATTAAGTACTAGGATGTTTGTAATGAGACAAAGCTGAAAAGAATTAAGATAACTTCATGGCCAATCGCAGTCATGGTGTATTGTCCTTAGGGGCCGTGGAGTCTGTCCTGACTCAGGGCCACCTTACATGAAACAGAAGGAAGCTGCCAGGTCCTGCACAGTCCTGCTATGTGTGAGTCCATTGTTGCAGCCTCTGTGTCAATCCGATCCCTGGCAAAGCCAGAGTGAAGTCATAAATGTGACAGACTGGTTAGTTTCCAGAAGCAAGGAAAGACCATGCGACATGCTGGACGTGGGTCCTTGGCAAAGAAGACCATGTCCACACTACTGGGTGTCAGTATACTAGATGAACTAAAGGAGGAGGACTGGGACTATCCCAGTGTCTCCATTGCCCCCAACACACACATTTTTTTAAACACTACAAGACCTGTGTCTTCAGCTCAGGTGAGCACCTGTGTAGCACACGGTGCTAATGCATGCTAAACTGCATACTGTATGCTAGATAAAGGGCACAGTGCAAAATCTGACACACAACGGTGAAATAACGGCAAACATTGTTAGTGTTGCCTATGAAGATATTCCTATATCTAAGAGAACAGAGCTGCCTTTAACATTCTCGAAGTGACAACGACCATAGCTAGTAACATGGCCATGGAAGAGATGAAATAACTCCACACTGTTATAATCAAAGACATTTTTGTTTTCAAATTTTAGTTATATTTTGAAACTGTTCTGAGTATGTTTAGGGCTAAAATGCCATCACATGACCTAAACGTCTCTTTATAGGTAGAATAAGCCTCAGTCAGTGAATAAATAAGGTTCCGTTTGTGCCAATCTGTTTCCAAATTACTAACTTCCTCCTAAAAGGAATCAACAAACCTAAATATAAAGCCAATCTGTTCCCTCCCCCATTATTTAACGATGCATATTGCTGTCATTCTATCATTTCATTCAGTATACAGATTAAATGTTCCATATATACATAAATGCATCTATATATATATAATTTAAAGGAGCTCTGGTGGTGTAGAGCCTAAGGCACTTGACTTCTTACCAGAAAGCTGAAAGTTCACCAGCCACTCCTAGGAAGGAAGATGGGGCAATGTACTTGCGTAGGGACACTGCCTTGGAAACCCAAGGAGAGGTCGCTATGAGTTGGGTCCGACTTCACAGCATATAACGACAACAACAACAACATATAATTTAAACATTATCATTGCCACATAGAAAGTGTTTCCTGGTTGTTTATTTATTTATTTATTTATTGCAAAGACTATTGCAATTTGCTTCATGCATGTTTGCATTTATATTGGTCAAAAGCAATGCTTTCAGCACACCAGGTAAGCAAGCTGCTCACAAGGATGTTACTGCATGATTGCAGATGTGGGAGACGCATTGCTGCTTCCTCACAATCCCCCATTTGGTCTAATTATCCTCTGGCCTCATGTCTTTTGTAGACAGCGTGTCCTGGGCCATTCCTACTTGCACATAAACCAGCACTCTAGGATGGAATGAGAGAAATGTGCTGATTTTGACAATAAACTATTGCCAAATCAGTATAACAGTGGAATAAAATAACTATCTGAAAATAAGAGTTAACTCTCCTCCCGGTACTAACCTCACAAAAACGACAGCAACATTTGGAAACTTGTGATGGCTTGGAAACAGCTTTCTGTCAAGTCTGGCACCCATGACCTGCATAGAATCAAAGCATTGAAGTAAGTACCTCATTTTCAGACTATCTTCCAGATGGAGGATAGATTTGGGACTACTGTGTATTTCGCACTGCTACTTTGCATGTAAGTTAAGTAGAAAACACTTGGTTCTTAAGCCACACACTTGTCGCCACACTACGCATTTCTCTTTTTAACAGTGTGCCATTCTGTGGCCCTGTGGCCTTGGCCTTCCATCCATGCATCTTGGCGGAACTGATTTGAAGGGAACTGCATCTTCCTTGATCTGTAGCGCTTAGAGATGAAGGCCCAGACCCTTCTAAGTAGGGAAGTGACCCAGACAGCCCCTGGGAAACATGACCATGAACCCCTACCTGGAAAGACTCAGTGGAGAGGGTGGGGCAGAGCAGGGAAGAGGCGGCGGCCGAAGTCTGAGGGAAGCAGCAGCGCGGTGTGCTTTCTGAGCAGCGCCCTGCGGGTTAGTTTTTAGCGGTGGAGCGGAAATGGCAGAGCATGGGAGTCGAAGGCCTAGTCATGGTTTTTAAAAATGTGCTTTTTAAAGTCAGATGATAAACAGGGCTCATATTGAACACGCTTTGCTTTGTTCAGAGCTGGCACGTAGCGCAGCCCGACAAGTGTGCAAGGATCCTGCATCTTACACAGGATACCTGACTGTAGGAGACCGCAGCTGGTCAGAGTTGACTGTGAGCGCGGTCAAGATCAGCAACGCCCGGGGTGCCGCTCCGACTGTTGAAGATTTTACCGGAAACTAGGGCCCTTGTGGGGGCTGCGTTTTTGCAGAGGCCAGGGCAGCCTTTGGGGGTCACAGAAGCCTATCAGCAAACCTCAGCAAGTCCGGGGGACTCTCCGGCCCAGCCACCCGAACCGGCGGCAGGGAGGCCCCGGCGCCCGTAGGTGGCGCCCCACGCCCGTGCTTGCGCGTCTCCGCGCTCCCAGCTCGGCTCCGAGCCCGGCGCTTCTCCTCGGGCCGCTCCAGAGCTCGGCTGGCGTTGCAATCGCTAAGCGCGAGCGTCGCGCGCTCCCCGAGCCCCGAGGTTCACCCGAGCGGACGCCTAACCCAGGCCGGGTGCGCTGCCGCCGGCCCCGCCGAAGCCTGTCGTTCCCAAGCCTCCGCCTTGAAGCCACTAAGAGCTCAACGCAGCCACCTTTTCTTCTTTTCTTTAAAGAAAACTGTTTTTATTTTTTTCTTTTCCCTCATTATGAAAGTGGCCATGCTATTCAGGGTTAAGACTTGGAGGGAATTTGGAAAAGGAAAGCGAGAAACCGAAAGAAAGGACGCGACCGGTGCTTTTGAGGGGGCCTGATTCCGGAGAGCCGTCTGGGAGGCTTGCGCTCCGGTGTCTGGGTGAGAGCCGGCCCTGGGGCTGCGGGCGCTGCTGCCGCGGGGAGACCGGCCGGGGGCCGGCGCAGAGGTGCGACAGAGGGGCGCTGTGTGCGGCGCCTGGAGCCGGGCAGGTCCCGGTGGGGAGCCGGCGCGCTGAGGCGGGGCGCGGGGCGAGAACCCCTGGGTGCGGGTGCGGGCCGGCAGGAGGACCGGGTGCGAGGCGTGCGGGTGTGGCGGGCGCTGTGGGCCGGGTAACCGATCCGGTGAGGGGCGCGGGGCGAGGCACCTTGGGTGCAGGTGCGGGCCAGCTGGACACCCGGCGCGGGGCTTGTGGACGCGGGGTGCAGACGCAGGGGGTGCTGGCCTGGGGTGGGGCAGCGGTCGGCGGTGTTTGTGCCCCTTACAGAGCCCGACCTGCTGCGGGACGCAGGCTGGGCGCTGGGCGCAGGTGCGCGGGTGCCTGGAGCCAGCCGGCGGCGGCAGAGGCAGGGCGTGGCGACCTGACAGTGGCCTTGCCTGGCGAAGGGTCGCGCTTGGCGTCCACATCCCGCCCCAGCGCTTGCCCCCTTCTCTGCTTAGAACAACTTCGGAGACATCACGGCAACCACCATGCGGGCGCCAGGTGAAGACCCCGACCTGCGCTCTGGGGTCAGCGCGCTGTGGGCGCTCGCGGTTGAATGAGGACCTTCGCAGGGCTGCGAACTGTGTGCTGGGGAGAGAGGTGCGACCAGCCTCTTCTCCTGCCGGCGAAGGGAAGAGGACGGTCCAAAGAACCAACTTCTCCCCTCTTAGAAGGAGGGTGGGCGGGGAGGGAGGCGGCGACGTCTCTGTGGCGTCCTCAGCTGGGAGCTGACCTGGGCCCGCGCGAGGACTGGGCATCTGGAAAAGTGCCCACGGGCACCAGGCTGCGTCCCGCGGGAGAAGCGAGCCCGGGTCTCGAGACCCAAGCGGGACAGAGCCACGCCTGGAATTCCGTCGAGGGAACCCTCTGGTCGAGTCCAGGGGTGTTTCTGGGGGCAGCGGGCGCCGAGAAGTGGGTGCTTGGTGTCAGTGCCTAGCTTTCCCGCAATGAAAATGTTTCCGTACAGTTTTTCGCTCCAAGGAGCTGCCTGAGGGCTTGTTTTTTGGGGGTGGAAAACTGATACAATCTTTCCCAAATGGGAGCAGGACATCTCAGGATGGGAATGGGGGAACAGGAGGGAGGGAAGGAAACCGGTGCTCGGAGCGGCTTTCGGAGACAGAAAGTCAGGGCTGGGCGGCGGGAGCCTCCGCAGATGTTTTGGGCTGCGTCCTGGGCTCATACCGCCTGCGGCTGGTGGGTGGGGGTGGCGGCGACACCGTCTCCGGGCCGCACACCATCTGCGAGGAGGACCTGCAGGAGTCGGCTGCCTGGCCTCCGCACCCCGGCGCGCTCCCCGAGCCGTCGGCACGCACCGCGCACAACTCTAGGCTCCCGGGACTTGTGCTGCCAATTCCGGGCGGGGGTGCGGTGCTGGGGACTCCAGGGGTGGCATCTCGGGGGGGGGGGCGAACGCCCTTCCCCCCCAGACTCGGCCCCCCAGGCTAAGGTGTGAGTTCTTTACCCTGACAGGTCTGCGGGCGGCTTCCTGCTGAGGACGACCCTGGCCTTGACCATCAGCGCCGCGGAGCAGGGCCGGAGGAGGTGTCCCTGGG